AGGAATGCCAAGAAGCACTCTCCGGCTTCCCTCCAAGCATCTCGAACATCATGTCAGGACTCAGAAATCTGAGGCACTGATGTGGGTTTTGCAGAGGACACTGCTATAGATAGGCTTCAGCTCCCAAGCATGACGATTCTTGAATACCTGCTATTTCCACTTCCCTGGTTAAATGTGTAGAGAATGGTTCCAGCGTTTTGCTGGCTGGTTCTCGGCACTGTTCTAGGAAGGCCACCTCTTGGCATCAGCTATCGCCTTTGTTTGGGACAACCCTGCACTCACAGCGTTCACCCAAACGGTACACTGATGCTCTGATGCTGAGTTTTATTACAAGTGGCCGAGTCCATGCATCTTGCTCTGAAGAAATAACTTTTAGTAAATGTGTCAATGGAAGGACGAAACCAACGACGGCAAGGTCTGTGCCTGTTTTGTTTACTTGCATGCCCAGCATCTAACACAGAACATGGGAGTCAGCGATTGCTTAATCAATGTTAGTGGAAACTTTGTTGACTTCCTCAGTCACCTGGAGTTGTAAATTTGGAGGCACACGGATATGACTGTTTGGCCCACACAGAGGTTTTGGAAATTTAAATGAGTTGCTATTAAAAACTGGGAAACAGGGCTTCCCTGGTGGCGCAGTGGTTGAGAGTCCGCCTGCCGATGCAGGGGACATGGGTTCATGCCCCGGTCTGGGAAGATCCCACATGCTGCGGAGCGGCTGAACCCGTGAGCCATGGCCACTGAGCCTGCGCGTCCGGAGCCTGTGCTCCGCAACGGGAGAGGCCACAACAGTGAGAGGCCCGCATACTGCAAACAAACAAACAAACAAACAAAACAAAACAAAAAACTGGGAAACAACATAAATATCCCTTAAAATTCAGAAGACCCGGCATGCCGGCACTCATGTTCATACAGGTTACAAGTGTCCACAGTGAGGGGCCTTTCAGGGGCAGCTGGTGGGCTCCTGTCTGTCACAGTCTCCGCTGCTCTCTAGTCACTTCCCACCCCCAGCCGGGGCCCTGACAGCATATGAATTTAGGACGCAGTCATTTCAACTCTACTTCCTCATGTTCTGTTACTGAAAATGATTCTGTTTGGCTTTGGAATATTTTCCTCCCACCCCTATCTATGGAGGGCTCTTCCTAAGGATCAAGGTAAAAATCTTGGTTTCTTCCTGATTTAAAAGAAGCCCAAAAGGCCTGGATTAAGGACAAGGGTTCAGTCGCTGGCTCCCCCTGGGGGCAGCACGACCAACTCCCTCCAGGAAGCCTCGCTCTGCGTTCCGTGCTGGGAACTCCACAGACCGGAGGGCGGGAGGCCCGCGGGAAGCTGGCACCAGGAATCGTCTCCGGGTACTCACTCTGCTCTTAACCATCATCTTATCCAGGTCTTTGCTGATGTCAGCGAACACTGGCCTCTTGTCTGGCTCCTCCTTCCAGCACTGCAGCATCAGACTGTACCTGATGGGACACACAGGTGGGCAGTGACAATCCAGCAAAGACTGCCCGGTCATAGCCACCAAACTCAGTATAGTGCCCTGGACCCCGGGGGCTCTGTTCCCGAACCTCAAAGCTGTTTCTGTGTCACTGACATCCTTCTCTGAGGTAGGTCAGAGTTTGAGGGGTCAGCAGGGGCTCACAGCGTCTGGCGCTATGATGGCTAAGGCAGAAATGCTGGTCATTAAAACTCTTATGAAGGACGAACTGGGTATGAACACAAACACCTGCCAATCACACTCTGACTTGTACCTTCCTCCCTCCCCTGGGGCCCTGGCATGGTTGCAGGGCTTCCAGAGCTACCGTGTGGGTGTGCGCTGGGCCCCTGCTTGCCAGCCCGGGCCGTCCAGGGAGGTGGCACCTACTCACCCTCGCACTCCCCCATCTAGCCTCGAGCCAAACACGTGGCAGGCGCATGACAGACTTCATAGAATGAATGGACCGGTGTCTCTGCCTGCAGATGACCCCTTCTCATGTGTTCTCAACCTGTCCTCTGAGAATCGTCTGATGGAACCACCATCAGATGAGAAGATTCTGGTGCCCTAGGGCGAAAGTCCAGGCTCCCCCCTGCCCACTCCTTGCCTGCCTTTGTGCCGCCACTTGTGTACTCCCCTATATGTGCCCTTGGGGGCCATTCTGAATTACCCATCCCTCTCCAAGCATCCTGGGACAGGTCTCTGGCTTCTGGCTCAAGCTGCTCCCTCGGTCTGAAGCACCCTCTCATCCTTCCACCACCTTTCCCCAGGTCCTGCCCCACCCCCCTCACCCCTGTAAGTCCCTCCAGGAGGCCGACCCAGCCCCCAGTGGAGTCAAGGGTCCCCAGCATCTGCTGTCACACCCAAGGGTGGTTCTCTGACTTCTGCCCCGTCATGCCCTGCCTGTCACTACCCGCCATCGAGCTCGCCCTGGGCTGGCACCCAGGGCTGCCCAGGAGTGGGAAGGAATGAGTGCATGTGTCTCATCCCCGTCAAAGTCCAGTGTGTCTGTGTCTGAGGAAGGCTGGGCCAGAGCAAAGCCTGCTCACATCTCCTCACTGCAGTTGTCTGGCCTCTCCATCCGGTAGCCTGTTTTCAGAAGGTTGAAGAGCCGCTCTGGAGGAATCCCAGGGTAGGGGTTGCCCCCCAGGGTCACAATCTCCCACAGCAGGACACCGAAGGACCACCTGCAGGGAACAAGAGGACAAGTGAGTGGTTGCACTGGGTCTGCAGTGCCCTCTGTGCACCAGACACTCATCCCCCCCAGCAGTGTCTGACCCCGAGTCCCCAGTACAGAGAGTGGCCCAAGTGCTCACAGCTTCAGCCTGTGCTGACCTAACAGATGGGGTGGGGAATAGAGGTGGGGATGAGCCATCTGCCTGCCCTGCCCCCACCCCTGCCAAGCCGCTGCCCAAGCTCAGCCCCCTCACCCGAAAGGGCACACGGCTGGCCCCTGAGGTGATGCTCTGAAGCATCAGAGATGGCACAGGGCAGCCAAGCAAGCACATCAAAACGTAGGCGGGACCTAGGCCACAGGGCAGAGGGCTCCCTGCACAGTTCCTTCACCTTTTCTGTGAGCTTGCAAATTTTCGTAAGATCTTAGAAGAAAAAAAAGCACTGCTATAGAAAACATACTTAACTGTGAGAGAAAATTTACTGTGAAGTGGGGACAAAATCATATCACAAAACAGTATTATCACACGAGCCCACTTACAGTAACAAAAAGCATATACCTGCACGCCACAGAAAACTCTAGGCCATGCCTGCGAGGGCCAGCAGTAGTTACTTAGGGGTGGTGGGATCCTAGTGGCTTTTAGTCTCTTCATTTTGCTTTCCCCTGCATTTCTAATTTTCTTACGGTCAACTTTGTAATCAGAACACAGTTGTTAAAACCGTCTAAGAACTGCCTTTTCACAGCCCACATTATTCAAAATATGCAAGCCTGTTCAGAGCAGAACACTTGGAAACAAGTCTGTTGTATTTCTGAAAACTATCAAAAATGTAATTGGGGGCTACCCTGGTGGTGCAGTGGTTGAGAGTCCACCTGCCGATGGCGGGGGCACGGGGTTGGTGCCCGGGCCGGGGAGC